CTTGAACCCCCCCCCCCCCCCCGCCCCCCCACGCGTTCTAGCTGTAGGCAGGCGTTTTGTATTTTCCGCCTGGTTGTATTAGTCATGTAGCAAACCCGGCTTGGGGGGCATGGAGGGCAGGGATTGCATGTGTGATATTGTGCGTCGGAGGTGCGGGGCGGGGGGGCAAAATCTCGAGCATTGCAACATCTTGTGTGGGAGCGTGTGTGCATGGGTTTTATAGAACTTGGACTTTTTCTTCACACCGCTGCGTGTTTGTTGCCTTGGTTGGGCAGTTTTTGGCGAACGTTTCTGTCTCGCCTGCAATAGTTACCGCAGCAGGAGGTGGTGGCAACTTGGACACGCTCGCCTTTACAGCAGTCAGCCGTTTCATGCATATTGTAACGGCGTTGAGGTTTTTCGCATTTATTCCCATCAAACGATTGCTAGCTAGGTAGGTAGATGTGAAAATGAGAGTTGTTGTTCGTCCTCTTCACCGGTGTTCGTTTTCAAGCAGGGTCGTGGTAGGAAATGCTAATCATCACGATACAAGAGCGGCCAGATCATGTGTTCTTGTGATGTTCACGTTTGCTATGTGGTTGGTTGCAGTACTTTATACTGCTGTGGGCATACCATCCATCATCTCGAGGGGCTAGCTGATTATCGACTCGAACGTACCGAGAGAGCAGGTTTCAAATGGGGGGGCGTCATTGTCATTATTTTTGCGCACATGTTGTACTATACATGAAGTGGGCCGTTCTGTTCAATTTTATGTATCCATAGATGTATGGGGGGAATGAACGTAGGCGTGGTGTCTTGTATGCAGAGACGGCGCTTTGTGGATCCACTGGATACGTTTGTTTGGTGAAAGTACTCAGGTGTGTTGTGGGTCTTGTCACGAATAAAGCCCAGCGCACAACTGCTGTAGTCTAGACCATCGTTTTTTTATTGTAAGAGTGTGCATCGCTTCGCCTATTTTCGTGCTCGGGATACACAATACATGCTTCGCTGGCGGAAGTGAGTCTTTTCTCACGCTTGCTTCTCAGGGCACGTAGGGGGGTCTTCTCTACATTACTGCCCACGTCCGAGGACCGCCAGCCACCCATGGCGCGTGTGCTTGTCGAAAAATCTTGCTCTATAATAACCCGGAGGCGTTCCGCGCGAGAAATACTTGTAACAAAAAATGCATGTACTAACTTCGTAACCAGGGGGCCTTCCGGCGAATGGGGGAGAATGCTGTAGATGTTGAAGTTTCTGTCGGTAGGGAAAAGGGAGACCGGTTCTAGAACCGTTTCGGCGAGACCAACCGAAAGAAAAAAAAAACGAAAAAAAAAAAGTAATTCTTCGACACATTTTTCAAGATAAGCGATGCGGCGCATCCTGTTTCACCATGAACATCGACGACTCATGCCTTGTTCTCCACGGCAATCGACTCCGCTTGGTCGAAATACATACAGAGGACACCACTCTCGAGGTCCTCAGCCCTAAACTCCAACATCCACGGCCGTGCCGACTCGGGCCTGGCCGTGGCTCGTTGCAGTCTCATGCTTGTAGACCGCATAATCCACGTCCGCGGGGAAAAGAGGGTAGTAAGTAGTAAGGCAGCACCGGAACAAGCACAACCGCGGGATACTGCTAACCTCCTGGCTGTTAAAGAAGGGTATCACGAAGGCAGCTGGCAGTAAGTTGTCCTCTGTAGTTGCTGATGAAGATCAGCTCCGCGAAAAGGGTAGAGAGCATGCTGAAGCCATCCAAGAACGAGCATCAAAGCGCGGCAACCAACAGGCTGCCGCTGCTGCTGCTGCTGCTGCTTCGGGGAAGGGGAAGCGCAAGGGGGCGGACGTAGCTCTCTCCGACCCTCTAGCATTGGCTCACGATGGCGGGACGAGAAGCGGGGCTACCCCAGAGGCTTCGCGCGAGGAACAGGTGAGGTTTTGGGTTGCTGAAGTGCTGTTGAAATGCTTGGACTACAATATTGTACTTCTTGGCGCCAATTCGTGCCGCTCTAAATTTAAACAGTATTTGAATTTTGGTACGCACGGCCCTCTGTTGCTCGTGCTCCCGAGATTGATCTCCATTCCACGACTTCGTGATGTTAGCGTAGAAAGCGCATGAAAAGTTGCATGGGATCACTGTTGTACTAATTGCAGGCTTCTACGTGTGGCATTTGTTGTTGGCCCACCCATACTCCTGCTGAACATAACACACACCCTCCCCCGACTCCAACAACTCCTGATACATGTACGCAGGCTTCGGAGGAGCGTCGCTCGAGCGCGCTGGAGTTCATCCAGAAGGACCACGTGTTGATGGAGCGAGTACGGGCCATGCTGGGGGCGAGCGCTGCAGACCAGGCAGCAGCTAAGGAGGCGGCGGTCAACGCGGCGAACACTCGCGCGCTCCGTGCCTCGCTCCAAGCGCTGAAGCGGCACAGCAACAGCTCGATAGGGTGCACCGCGTACACGACAGCGCTCACCACAGCAGCGGGAGCGGGGGAGCACACGTGTCCTGACCCCAACCTGTGCCCCCCTGGCAACCGGTGCAAGCCCGCTGAGCCTGGTGGAGTGAGCTTTGCCGAGCGAGCCAAGAGTCTCGGCATTCGGTACGAGACTTTCAGCGACGCACGTGTGCGGATGCACAACACGAACCACGACATCGCCCCCAGGGACGCTGTGAGTGACGGGTGCTACGTGTATAACGAGCGCAAGACACGGAGTGACGTGACGAATCCCGAGGTAATGGCTCTCGCCAAGGCTTTTTGGCACTCCGACGACGTTTCCCGTGCAACAGGAAATTCAGGCAAGTTGCTGCGTCGCGCACGANGCCTGCAGGAGCGAAGGACATGTACAACCCCGACTTGGTTGGCAAGGTGATGGAGAAGTCGGGCAAGGAGAAGGTTGGGAGACGCACGTTTGGGACTCAATTGACCGGCGGTATTGTTCCGGTGATATCTTCGGACGAGTCTCCTGTGGCGCCTACTCCCAACCCCATGCCTAGTCCGACGCTTGACGAGAGCATGGGGGAGCAGGAAGATGGGGAGGAGGAGATGGAGGAGGAGAGGGAGGAGGAAGAGGATGAGGAGGAGGACGGGGAGGAGGGGGAGGACGGGGAGGAGGAGGAGGAAGAGGAGAGGGAGGAAGAGAGATACGTAAGCTCAAGAGGGCGCGTACGCATTGCGAAGAGGAGGTTCTCGGAGTTGGGCTAGTGATTATNCGAAGCGCGAGGCGGTGGTTGCGCCTGGGAAGCGGAAAGCGGGGGTTGCGCCAGGGAAGCGCACGGCGGGGGTTGC